GAGCCAGGACTCCTGGGTTCCATTCTCAGCTCTGGGTGGGGCTCGTGAATGGGGGGTGGGCTGGGAGCCAGGACTCCTGGGTTCCATTCCTGACTCTGGACGGGTCGTGGGAGGGGCGGGGCGGGGCGCGGGGGGGTGTCTCATGGATTAGAGGGGGAAGGGGGCTGGGAGTCAGGACTCCCGGGTTCCATGCCCAGCTCTCACAACTTGGCCTCCATCCGTCTTCTTCCCCTCGCCCCCGCCCCCCCCCCCCCCCCCCCTTCAATTCCAGCCCTGCTATTCCAGGCCTGGCCCCCCCGGCCCCCCCCCACTGCCCCTAAACCCAATCTACAGCTGCCCCCCGCTATTCCAGCCTTGGGCTCACCCCCCCAGCTCTGCCAATGCCCCTCAATGCTGATCCTCAGCCCCCAGCTATTCCAGGCCTGGCCTCCCTGCACCCGCGTCGCCTCCCCCAATGCCCTTTAACCTCACCCCATAGCACCCTCGGCCCTGGCCTGTCTCTTCCGCTGCCCCTCAATCCTGACCCTGCGGCCCCCTCCTCTGCTACGCCAGTCCTCGCCTCCCACTCCCCACAGCGCTGCCCCTGCCCCACACCCCAGCTGCCGCTGCAGCCGCAGGCCCCGGGGCAGTATATATAGCACGGCGCTCAGCCAGCCCCTGCGCGCCCGGCCATCAGTCAGCGCCGGGGCTGTCAGCACCCGCTGGGCGGGGTCGGCGGGCGAGTTGCTGTGTGACCTTCTATTCCAGGCCTGGTATGCGGCCGTGGGGGGCAGCCCCTGTTATTTATAACCCCCTTCACACACACATGCCCCAGGGGTGCTCGGCCTGCATGGAAAGCCAAGCAGAATTCCCCGGGGGGGGGGGCGTAGCGAGGCAAATGAACGAACTCCTGGTGCTGAGTGGTTCTGCAGGTAGGGAACGGGCTGGCAAATGAGTCCAGTTCCCTTTGTGGGCCCGGCTCGCATCTCCGCTTCACCTCGCTAGCTAAAGGCCCGGCAGGCGTGTGTGCCCGTCAGTGGGCATGCGGGGCGTTGCTAACTAGAGAGCGCTGGCCCTCTGGCCAACGCCAGCCAGCAACCTCCTGCCCCCCCCCCCCCCCCCCCTTGTTGACTAGGCCAGATCTGAATGTAGGGGCAAAATGGGGACGGGCCAGGGAGGAATGGGGGCAAGCCACAGCACAGGCGCGTTAAGAAACTCTCGCTCACCCTAAGGGTCAGTATGCGCCGGACTCGGCGGCCAAGCGCAGGTATGGCCTGCCCGGCACTGAGAGTTTATTTATTTATTTTTTTAAAGACCAGTTTGGGCAAACCCCTGCCAGGGTCCGGGCTGGTTTGGGTTTACCAAGCATCACCCCGCCTCGGGGACTATCAGCCGGCAAAAACACCCGCCACACGGGGGCATTATCCCAACGCCGGCCTCTGAAGAAGTGGGGTTTTTTTTTTACCCATGCACGCTTCGCCCTAAATAAATCTGTTCGGCGTTACGGTGCCACCGGGCGCCTCGTTGTTTTTAATCCCAATGCAGGCGTGCCACACGTTGTTCTCCGCACAGGGGCTTAGCGGGTGCATGGCTGCAAAACGCCACCCTGCAGAGGCCACTCTTGGGGTGCATGCATGCCCATGCCCCCCCCCCCCCCAAAGAATGAGTGGGTGCAGCATGATGCTGCATGAAAGACTTTCAGGATACCCCTCCCCCCCGCCTCCAGGGTAGTCAGTGACCCCAGCTCCCTGCTAAACCCCCTCAATCCCCCATTGCTGAGGTAATGCTGCCCTCTGGTGGCTGTGGCTGGCAAGCACGGCTGCTGCAAGGTACAGCACCCAACAAGCAGTGGCGAAATCCATGCACCCATAGGCGGCTTTTGATTGATCTGTAGCTGTTGCAGCTTTTCTGTATGGACGGAATGTGACTAATGGTAAGACCGGGGGCCTGGGAATCAGGACTCCTGGGTTCCATGCCTGCCTCTGCCACTGATTTACTGGGCGGCCTTAGGGCGAGTGGTGTGCCTCAGTTTCCCCATCTGTGAAACGAGGCAAATGCCGCTGACTCATTTCCAAGGGGGGTGTAGACATGACTGACTCATATTCCTCCAGCTCTCTGCCATCCCCAGCAGGGAGGTGGGCGTGCCGCATCATTTAATTAGCTGCAATTAATGAAGATGCCGATGAAGAAGAAAACCCTATTGTGACAGCTGTGGGGCTGCTCTGTGATGGCTCGACATACAGTTTAATTGGGTGACTCGACGGGGTTCAATCAACAAGGCTGTTGGGCACCAAAGAGGAAGGGGACACAGGGGCTGTAGACAAGACACGCTACAGCAAACCCCGGAGGGTTGCTACAGGACAATGGGCGACTGTGGAGGGGTCGGGGGAAGCGGCTTGACCACCTGTTGAGCTCCCTGAACTGGGGTTTTGAGTCACAGGGCCCTGGTCTGCGAACTGAGAGAACAAAGAACTGGGGCTGGGTAAAAAGTGGGACGCCCTCTCTAAGGTAGGCGGCCATTTCTGGGGAGCGGTGACTGACCCATGCCCCGTTGTTAGGGGGCTGAAGGAGTTAGGTGAGTTTACCGGGGTCAGCATCAGAGGGGCGGGGAAGCTTATAGGTCAGCTGGACTGTTCGTGGCTTTAAAATCCTTTCCCTCTGCGGCTTTGCTCCTCCGGTGAAGCTGAAACGACACTTTGGTTCAAGCCGGCTGTTTGTTCAGTCCATTCACTGCTGTCCCCGACTTGCGGAGAGCAGAACCCGCTGGGACCTGCCCCGTAAGCACGGCTGATGCCTGAGAGAGACCAGAGGCGCAGCCAGTCCTGTGATGGTGTCTCCTCTATCAACAGTTTTGGACCAGGCAAGAGTCAATACAACTGGGAGAGGAGCTGGATTCTACCCGGGCGGAAGGAATCCTGCCACGTTTTCATATCCCTTGGCTCCATGCGCCCGGCCCGCTGGGTCTGGCCATCACAGAGGAGAATCGAAGCTCTGGTTACAGCCACGCTCATGATAAAGATGGAGGAGATGGTGCAATGTACTAGCTCCCTGCTGGACCTGAATGTAATTTCAGAGCCTCATCTGACCCAGAACTAGAAATGAGGCCCCAACTCCCATCCCAGGCAGGGCTATGCCCTGTGATTGTACTGTTCTCTGCCAGCTGGTTTTAAATACCCCAAGCAGTGGGGTTCTTCCCTTTAGGAAAAACTGAATAATAATCCTACCTAGCTCCTTTAGCCCCGTTTTACAGATGGGGAAACTGAGGCACAGGGCTGGGACATGACTTGCCCAAGCTTCCCCAGCAGCGACAGGAATTGGACCAAGGTGTGACGCTTTTCCGGGGAGAGCCCCAGATCACACAGCGCGGCAGTGGCAGAAGGGGTGACAGAACCCGGGTCTCCTGAGGGCCGGTGCAGGGCCGTACCACGCTCGGTGGAGAACAATGGATCACCCTCCTCCATAACAACCTTTCACCCATGTGAAGACTTCTCCTGTCCTTCGCCGCAGCCTTCCCTGCTCTAGAAACACGACCAGACCTTTCAACCCAGCCTCCCAGGTCAGGCTTTCTAAACCACTCGTGGTTGTCGCTCTCCTCTGGACTCTCCAGTTTGCTCACATCTTTCTTGGTGCCCAGAACTGGCCAGAGTTTTCCAGCAGAGCCGGACAATTACCGCCCGGATCTTACATATGACACTCCTCTTAATCCACTCCAGAATTAATAGCATGAAGTCATTTTCTCTTTCCTTGCCTTCTCTTGCACACTAACTAAACCTTCTCTCCCGCCCCCCGGCTTTCAGACACTTCATCCATTGCACCTTGACACTTCGCTGTGGGTGATTAGACCAGCCAGGATGGATTTACTACCCGGGGTGTAAGCCTTCGCAGCTGAGAGGCAGTAGCACGGAGTACAAGACTGCAGGAGGTTTAGGATGTAGGTACGACTATGGTGTCTCTTACGGTAGCGCCTAGGGTCCCCCAGTTTGCTAGGGGCTGTACATACATATAGCCAGAGACCGGCCCTGTGCCGAAGAGCTCACCGTCCAATCAGACAAGCCAGACCCAGGGGGCTTTATGGGACATTCAGATCTGGCCTCACATTAAAAGTGATCAGGGAAACTCAAACGACTACGGCTGCCTGGTTTGACATCAGAGAAAAGCATCAAGTGAAACCTGGCAGCAAAGGGCAGGGATTTGGCCCGTTTCTTGGCTTAAAAACTCTTGTTCCTAATGCTTAACTCAAATGCCCAGGGGACACTACGAAGAAACAGTCTTTGTTAAAAAAGGGTCAACCTCCACCCCTTGCCTTTCCCAGAGTAATTCCACAAGCCACGTCTGCAACCTCCAAAGCCGCGGTGAAGCAAACAGGGCAGAGCAGACTTGAGAGGTTTCTAAGGTTAATTAACAAGCACTTCAAAGCCTACCAGCCTGGCATCAACAACCGGCTGTCTGACCTAGAGACCTCAGAGGGCCAATCCCGAGCTCTTACGTGCTGCTGAGCAGTACATCTCAAAGGGCTTTGCAAAGGAGGGCGGTATTGTCCTCCCCGTTTTACAGATGGGGAAACTGAGGCACGGTGTTTTACTCAGGATCACCCAGCAGGCAAACGGCAGAGCGGGGAATACGAGGCCCGCTAGGCCATGCTCCTTCCTTAGGGAAGGAAATGCCGGAGCTGGCGAAGGAAGGATGGATGTCCTCCCGCATCGCCCTGCCTCTCTGACTCAGCTCTCAACAGGCAACCCATGAATTTACTCCTGGGTCAGCCCTTCATGCCTCTATACAAATATAATAAAGGGCAGATACAGCCCAAGCCAAGGCAGGGCACGCTGTGTCCTCCCCACCCCCGGTGGACCCTCTGGCTCAATTTCAGGCTCCAGCAACGGGACCATTTGACAAAATGAAGCCACAGGGTCAGGCCGCTGTAGCGCCAGGAACAGATCCCCAGCAGCGGGGTTCCCCCGTCCTGGATCTTACCCCGCAAGGCCTGTTCCCGACGGAGTTGAAATAAAGCAGCAGACACTGCCTCCGGTCAGACTCGGATTTGCTTTTAATGCCATGTACAAAGTTTCCCAAAAGAAAAAAAAAAAAAAAAGAGACAGACAGACACCAATTTAAAATACTTTCAAAAATAAATTAACGTTTTTTTAAAAACTCCCTTCTGTGCAAAAAGGAAAGAAAACCCCCCTGCCCCCGTTACTTCCTGAAGCCTAATTTAGGCTTTGAGCGAAGAAAGAAACTGACTAAAGAAAGTTAAGCAGATGGGCCCGAGTCTCATTGTCCAGGTCCCTTTTCCCCCCACTGCTCTGCCAGCCCAGGGGCCTCACAGCAAGTGTGAATCGCCCTGGCCCCTTTACGCTGCCAGAGCTGGTGCAAAGGGTCCCGGGGGGAGGGAACAGCCCTGAGATAATTAGCAAGGTTTGTACCCTGTATCCTCAGCCTGAGCATAAACCTGGCCTGGACACGAATGGCCACAGCGGTGCGGTCATCTGTGTGCACCAAGAACACAGACCCTCCCCAAACGCCCTGGGGGCAGCTGACGTCTGGATAAAGGTGCCTATGCCCCCCCCCCCAGCCTCTCCCTTGAGCTTTGATCCCCTGACACCTCTCGTGACCCCCCAAGTTGAGAACCCTGGGGCTAAGGCCTTGCCCCCCCCATCTAATTACAGGGTGTGACAGCAGCCTGAATTTGTCAGCTGCACCCCAGCGAGCCTGTTTCAGAATCTCACTTGCCAATGAGGTGGGTTTGCCATTGCCCGAGGGCACCCTGGGGCGGGGTGGGAGGCGCACTGGTTCCTAGATGAAGAGGGATCTGTCTAGGTGTAGGGAGGGATCAAAGCCAGGGCTGGCTCCGCCCTATCAGGACAGGAGTCCAATCTCCTGCTCTAACCACTAACACCCACCCAGCCCCTTCCAGACCTTGGGATAGGAGCCAGGCCTCCTGACTCCCAGCCCCTGGTCTACCCACTAGGCAGCGCTCCCTCCCTGGAGGAAACATGCAACTCCCGAGCCAGGGGCGTCACACACTGTGGGGAGACTGTTTAGCAAAGATAAGCTTCCCCCGTTCCAAGCCGGTCTGGGAGTTTCTGCCCCTGCAGTAGAGACTGGCTCCATGGGGTGCAGGATGGGGGGTGGATGCCACAGCAGGTGTCACTGCCCAGGGGGAGCGGCGGGGGATTGTTCATCTTGAAAGGGCAGATGAAGCGACTGGACTGGCCTGAAGGGAGTGTGCAACAGCCCGGTCTCTACTCATCGGCTCTGCTCCTGGCATGCCACAAGGCCTGCAGACGGCAGGCCGTTCAGAGCAGCCCTTTGAACTCTCATTAACCCCGGAGCCCAGCAGGGGAGCTAGACTCGAGTCTTGTTCACCCTGCTGCACAGGCGCCCCCGAAGGGCCTGGAAGAACTTTCACCAGAGACGATGCACAAGACAAAGATGCACCAGCTTGACTCTCAGATCCCCCCTGGGCTGACTGGAAGCGTCGGATTCAGAGAGAGAGCTCCAGGCCCCTGCAGCAGAATCAAGTCAGCACCACTGCATGCGGCGCTTTTCCTAACCACTATGGTTCGGGATGTACCATAGTCTACATAAAAGAGGAGCCACACACCTGTCTTAACCGTGGTGGGAGCTCTCCGTATTTCCCAAGTGCCCTCACCCTAGGCCAATCCTTTTTTGTGTTTAATCCCCTGGTCCAGAACACAGTCGCTGCTCGAGCAAAACTCCCTTGTGGCCCCTCCTGGCTGACGGTTTAAATCCTCAACCCAGATGTTGCTTTCACTTAACATTCAGCTTGCCCTGTGGCACACAAGAACCGCCAGGCTGGCTCAGACCCAGAATCCTTCTATCCGGTAGCCTGTCTCTCACAGTGGCCAGTACTGGCTGCTTCACAGGAAGTTGCAAGAAACGCTGCCACAGGACTGCTGTCTTCCTTCAATGATCACATGCGTTTCCTGTTGCTTCCACTCCCCCCACGTGCTGGCAACAGGCGACCGTCCATCAGAACACCTAGGTTACAGCTTTTCTTCACCCGATGCAGTCTGCTCACTTCCAACCCCCGGCTGCTGCGGGGACAGTACTCTGTGCTCTGGGTCGTGGCTTCCCGTGGTGACTGCAGGAAGAAGAGTGCCACAAACAGATCTCTCTGTTGATCAGCTGTGGCAGCAAGAGGAAGTGCTTGGGGCCAGTTTCAGGGGAGTTGAGAGCGCAGGGTTTGTACCGTGAGCTGGGCAGGGAGGTTTCCTGAGAAGACTCCACACTTTGCTCCTGCCGTCCAAGGAGGGAGACAAGTCTCTCAGCTCACCCCTGCGATGTAGGCACGATCTCCACTTTACAGCTGGGGAAACTGAGGCAGGGCCTTGCTGAAGTCACAGCGGCAGAGCTGAAAACAGAAGCCACATTTTCTGCCTCCCAACTGCCTGCTCTAACCACTCAACCATACTCTCTTGCATTCTGCTACCAGGTACTGTGGGCCTATCAAACACAGGTCTACTTCTTAGGTCCTCTCCCAGCCCATGAACCTCAGTGGGGGACCTTCAGGACCCACTCCTTAACCACCTCTAACATTTCAACGAGAAGGTGGCAGTACACATCAGCCTTCAGCATTAATGAGTGGCAGCCTCTGCTCCTGTGAACGGCGTGGCAGATTCCAGTGGGGCGGACGCATTAACCTGGGAGTGATGGCAGAAGCGGAGTGCCGGGCACAGGGGTGAGAAGTAAACTCAACGGTATTTTGCATTGTAAAAAGTTCAGCTGACTGGACAGACCCAAGGTGAACCAGCAGAACGCACCACGACCCGGACAGACGAGAAAGGAAGGCGATTAAAACCAAGAAGCATCAAGAGCCCTCTCCGTACAATGAAAAGAAAAAGCAACTGTATGACCTTGAAAGAAACAGCTGAGCCATGTTTTATTCTGGGATAGCGCATAGCTCAGGACTACCAGTAGATGGCGCTACAATCCCCAAACGCCTGCGGGCAGGACTGATTCATTGCCCTACGCCTGGTGCATTTACACTGGTTCTGATCCAGTAGCATTCTGCGCCGACTATGCGCTGGCGTAAACCACAACAGGGCAGGGCACTTGGGAATCAAGGCCTGGGATTTCAGTGCTACCGACCAGATCGGCGGTAGAGATCCGCGAAGCAGACCCAGGCTCCTCAGACTAGATCTTGGCCCCTAGACCTCCTCCCGGGCGGATCTGATTCCAGGTTCGGGATGATTTGTAGTTAAGTGCCACTGACTCCTCAGAATTCTTTCCACATCCTGTTACATGCTAAGGGAACGCGAGTCAATGGGAAACCCAAGCGGACAGACGTGTCTTTGCGAAGCTGCTGGCGTTTTCCAAGCGGAGGAAAACCGGCTTTGTTTAATAAGTCCCTGATATTCCCTCCCTGGGAAAACAGCCCCTTTCGCTTAAATGTGCAAAAGAAGATCTCTAGAGCGAGCGAGCGCGTCTTTGCAGCTCAGGCGGGGAAGCCGCACAGTCCACCCAAGGCAGAGGAGGAAGCAAAACGCCCGGGGCAGGTCGCGAAACGGCACGAAGCTTTAGTGCAAAAACGGCACGTTGACTAAAGCTGGTCAAACTCCCACGGGGCTGAGTGGAGAATCTGGAAGGGGTTTAAACCCAAGGACCCGATTCTCGAGGACAACTAAGGTTCTTTGATGCCGCTCAGGCAGCACAAAAGGGGCCCGCCTGTGGGCGCGGGGTACGGTTACTCCCACTTTAAGGCCTCCTTATTGGGGCCTAAAGGGGCTTCGGTGTGAATGAGAATCAGGCCCCCAGAGCGATAGCGGTGAATGATCCCTGTAGACATTGATCCTGATGCATTGTGCCCAGGGACCCTTTCACACCACTACGCTCCTCGGAGGCAGCGACTACTGTTAGCTGGAGCCTAAGCCCTTGAGTGCGCGCTGGCAGGATGTGGGATGCGAGGAACTCCACGTGCTGAGCCTCCTCCTGCCACAGGGGCTCAGTGGCGCCCCCCGGGGACCGACCGAGCCAGGCCGGAGCTACGCTAGTTCTGCCAAACTGGACCGGTGGCAGCGTTAACTATTTACATCCCTGAACCGCACGACCTTCTGAACCGCCCCCCTCGCCCCGCCCTGCTCCAGGGAGGGGGCGGCCGCCCGGGGGGGGGGGGGGGGCTACGACGTGTGGCACTGGACATGCGGGCGCGAGGCCTCCTCGAAGTCGTCTTCGTGGTAGGCCTCGCCGGCGTGGGGTTGCCACCAGTGTCCCGGCTGGGAGAAGTAGTCGTTCAGTTCCACCTCCTGCATGTCCTCCGTCGCCATGACCTCTTCTTGGGGGGGGAAGAAAGTGCGGAGCTGGTGGAGACGGTCCGGGGAGAGCCAGCCTGGCTCTGGGAATCTCACCTGGGGGGACGCAAAGCGAGATGTGGAAGGACGTCCAGGACAGAGGGCCCATGGTGCAGGGAGGGTGGGAAAGTCCCTGACAGCAAGAGCTGTCATCAACATCACCCCAACAGCCCCGGCTCCACTCTCGTCCTCCCTCCTGATGGAAACGACCCCCGTGTGAGTCAATGAACCCACGATGTGTCCACCTAAAAGCTACGTCCACAACCAAAGGACTGAAGTCTAGTAGCTGGAGGCAGCAGGTGACTCATAAGCCTCTTATGTGAACCGGGCACTAGAGGGAGACAAAGAGTCACCAGGGGCTATAGCCCACCGTCCTCACCGGTCACGGATCTAAGCCAGAGACGCTGCCGCTCTGCCCAGCCCTGATTGCTTCTCTGATCTTCCCTCTAACTTGGCTCCGCCCTGCTTCTCCCCAGATGCTCGGAACGGACGGCGCCTTCCAGGCGTGGCTCTGGATCCCACATCTACATAGGGAGGGGCTAATCATGGATACAGAGCCCCGTGCAAGGCTGGTGGGTGCTTTGTGAGAGGTATCAGAGCTGGGAATAGATCCCCGATCCCCAGGCTCTGCATCTCAGCCCCCAGACGGTGGCTGCCGCTCGGTGTAGGGCTGACCGAGACAGGAGGCAAAACCCTCTCAAGCGTGGATGGGGTTGGCTGGGCGTCTCTTTGGGGCAGCCGGTCATTCCATTGCTGCGGAGCTCAGGGTCCTCAGCTGGTGTGAACTGGCATGGGGCCATCAACGGGGCTCGGGCCACTGACACCCCCGCTGGGGATCAGCCCCGTGGGCTCCCTTGGAAGGTACCTGCCCCGCCCCTCACCTGGAAGTGTATGATGAGCCGGCCCTTCTGGGCGGGGTTTCTGTAGACGGGCATGCCCTCGTTAGGGACGCACTTCACGGATCCCGGCCGGATGACGTCACCTGCGCGGGCGGGGGTTAAAGAAAGCCAGACAGTTTCAGCTCCTGTGCGGGACGCTGGTTTGGAAACCCACATGCCTGTAGCCTCGTAGGGTTGAGACAGCTCCCTGCACGGCCCCTGGCTTGCTGGGCTCCAGCCGGCGTCCCCCTAACGGCAGTGAGCCCAAGGGACCGCGTCAGGGTCCCACCTTGGCAGGCTGTGCTCAAGAGGTGCTAGGGAGATGCCCAGAACGGGACATTCAAGGGGCTGGGGAGTTTGGGGAGGTCCCTAGATGAGCCCCCCCACCATGGTCTGCGTGGTGGGGGGCTCCCCCCTGCAGGGCTTTGCTTGACTGACCTTCAAAGGAGACATCTTTTGGGTCCAACATGTGTTGGGGTCTGGGCCATCCCTGGGCTACCTAGGGGCTGTCTACAGGGTATATTATTGATTCCCTGTGGTTGCATTTAATCTGAGTCATGTGACCAGATGTCATGGTGATGGGCACACAAACAAATAAAGGTCAGGTCTGTCCAGAGGGGGTGGATATCACCCTCATGCTACAGGTAGGGAAACTGAGACACCGTGAGGGGAAGTGGCTTACCCAAGGTCACACAGCAGGGCAGTGGCAGAGGTGGGAATAGAACCCAGGAGTCCTGGTGTCCAGTCCCCCCTGCTCTAACCCACTAGACCCCTCCCAGACTTGGGAATAGAACCCAGGAGTCCCGGTGTCCAGTCCCCCCTGCTCTAACTACTCCCCTCCCAGGAACAGAACCCAGGAGTCCTGACTGCTCCGGGTTGCCGACTCACCAAGCTGTGAGGAGACGAGCAGGGGCCTGTTGTCCAGAGTGCGGACAACTTGCCTGAAGCCGCACAGAGCGTCCACCAGGCTGATTTCCTTTCGGAGGACCAGGTTGTTGCCGATGCGCTGGAAGACGGGGTGCTCCTTCTGATCCAGGACGATGACCACGTCCCCAGGCTCTAGGCCGGGCACCTGGTCCCCTTCCTCGTGGAACGTGATCCTCTGCCCGTCCTGCATGCCTGCAAAATCAACACTGATAACCCGGCGCCCCGGATCACCCCCCAGGGCTAGTTCTCCAAGTGCCTGTCCTAGCTCCCCAGGGCCAGACTCAACCCTCTCTCGATCCAGACAGCGCCCTGGCCTCACCTCTGTCCAGGTGGACGTTCAGGATCTTCTTCTCTCGCACCACCCGCCTGCCGTTACAGGTGAGGCAGCGATCGAGGGGCCGGACCCACTCGCCCTGGCCCTGGCATTGCGAGCACATGGTCTGGATCTGCTGGATCATGCTGGGCCCCAACTGGTGGACGTGAAACTCCATGCCGGTGCCGTGGCACTTGGGGCACCTGCTGTCGACGCCTTCCCGGACCCCGCAGCCTGCGGACAAGGGAGGAGAGACAAGGCCGAGGGTGTCAGTGCAGGCCTGGGGGCTCGTCTCGGAGCCAGGAGATGTGATGCGGAGCTACACAGCAGCAGTTTCGGGGTGAAGCTCCCGCATCGTCTCCAGCTTACATCCCCTCATGGGCAGGGTGAACGGACACATGGAACAGACGGACGGGAGGTACCAGCCAGGGATCTCCGAGCTCTTGGCGGAAGAGAGAAGGGGTGGAGCAAAATCCTCATCCCCAGTGCCCGGCGATGCCCATCTGGTGCAGTGATTTTGGCAGAGCTGGGGATAGAACCCAGGAGTCCTGACTCTCAATCCCCTGCTCTAACCACTAGCCCCCACTTCTCTGGCCCAGGAACAGAACCCAGGAGTCCTGACTCCCAGGCCTTCCTGCCCTAATCACTAGGTCACACTCCCCTCCTGGAGCCAAGAACAGAACCTGAGTCTTGACTCCCAGACCTCCTCTCCATACCCCCACAGCGGAGTCTCCATAATCTGAGGGTGAAACTCAGCGGGAAGCAGCCTTGAGTGAGTGTGGGATCAGGCCCCCGAGCCCCGCCTCCCATTACAGCCCCACCCCCAAATCAAGGTCACGTGGCCGCCAGAGGGAACTTTGAAATGCACATGGGAAAGGGGAAGTCCCAATAGGCTCCGCCCTTCCTGTTCCTCATTGGCTGGAGATTGGAGGGGGCGGAGCTAGGCATCCCACCTGACTTTTGACATTGAAATAAGATGCAGGGCCCCAGACCCAGCGCCCATGGCTCACGCACCGTTGCACTTGCCGCAGATGACGTTCTTCTGCAGGGACAGCTTTCGGGTGGTGCCGTTGTACAGATCCTCCAGGGTCACCGAGAGCGGATGCACCACTGTCTTTCCTGACCACAGGACAGAGAGAGATCAGACTCCGATCAAGGACATGGCTCCCCTCCCGATGCCCCACAGGGACAGCACTCTCCCCTCACCTAAAGCCATCTCCAGAGTGCCTTAGAAAAGCTTTACAAGCTAAGTACATACAGGGAACGCTTTGCTCAACCCAGAAAGGCAGCCACCTCTGAGGTGGAAAGTAGCAGCTGTTCAACAGCGAAGAGCAACGCTGCTCAGGGATCGCTCACCCAGCACTGAAATGCAGCCACCTCTGGGGATGGAACGTGGCAGCTGTTGAACAGCTATATAATGTCACGCAAGAGGTTAGTATCAAAACCGTCCTGTCACAGTTACAGGACCCTCTCCAGTCTGAGTTCACCCCTACAGGTGACAGACCTCTTCCACTCTTGGCCCGGGTACCTGGGCTACCCTGATAGCAGGCCTGGCTGGGTTTGGCCCCTGCAATTCTTCCCTTCGGGAGCCAGTCAGTACAGAGACCAGACAACTTTCAAAACACAAAGAATTGTTCAATCTTAACAGCAAAGCAGGAGAGGGAGGGAGGATTTTAACCCAATAAAGAGTCAATCTGCACATCCGTCTTCCTCCAAGGCTTATCAGCCCCTGGAAAATGAGGAAGGCCCAGTCGCTTTGCAGGACCCGTGTCTCCATCTTGGCCTCTTCTCCAAACAACTCACTGGCAACTGCCCTCCTCCACCTCCCGCTCTCTAGACCATAGTGATCTGTCAGTTCCCAGCCCTAGCGAGATAGCTGGATAACTTCAGCATCTTCACGACTACTAGCACGGGGTTTGTTTCTTCACTTCCTGTTCACTGGGTGGGGTTTGATCTGGAACCCCTGTTCCCTACCATGGTTCCCAACAACCCTGCTGTTAAACGGACCCACCTATGCAGCCAGTAAACATATGGGTGTCGTCACACAGTAATCATTTCCCATGATCAGGTCACACGGTCTTTATACATTAATACAGAGCGGCCCCTTCTCCTTCACGCCCTGTAGTTAACTGAAAGCCCCGGGGGAATGTAGAGAGTCAGGATGTAATTATCTGAGTGGGAATTTGGACAGCAGCCCGGGGCTAGCCCCCCTCCAGCTCCTGGCTATGGGGCTGTAATGAAGACAAAGGGCTAGGGCCTCGTTTGTAAAGGGGTTGCCCCCGGCAACACGGCACCCCCTAGAGCTACACGGAGGGACCAGTTCCGTGAGAATTCCAGGGGAAGAGAGCCCTCCACTGACTTGCCAACGCCTCTCTCTGCAGCACCCCAGTTTAACGCAGGACCAGATCACAACCCGAAGTGGCTGTGGGGAGACCTCACTGCCTAAGACCCCCCCTCCGCCCTCCCAGCTCAGTAGAATGAATCTGGACTCACTTATCCTTTCTTAGCTTGACTTCAGCAGGGACAATACACAACATCAATGCAGCCTCTTGCTGCAGGACCTGAGCCGCCGGGGGCCTCCCAGAGCCAGACCCGCACCGTCTCCCTTGAAAAGGAAGACCTGAGGGCTTAACCCTGATCTCTAGCATGGGTGAGCCCATCCCATGCAATCAGCACGAAGCCCTGTGTCCCAGCAACCCATCCCAGGTACCTCTCCTCTCTGGCCGGCCAGGCATCCGCACCCCGCCTCCGAAGAACATGTTGAATATGTCCATCGGGGACCCAAATCCTCCTCGGCCTCCAGTGCCGCCTTCTTTCATGGCCCGCTCCCCGCCCCGGTCATACAGCGCCCTCTTTTGGGTGTCCGACAGCACCTCGTAGGCTTGCGAGATCTGCTTGAACTGGGGAAGGGGAGAGGGTTAGAGACGCCGCCTGTCCCAGCGGGCGAGCGGCGCAAAGGGGTCGCTGCCCTCTTTACCTACCCGCTCTCCTTCGCTGGGGTTCTTGTCGGGATGGTATTTCAGCGCCAGCCGCCGGTACGCTCGCTTGATCTCGTCCAAGGTGGCGCCCGGCTTGACGCCCAAGAGGTCGTAGTAACCCGTTTCTTTCACCATCTTTCCCCTCTGATGCGCTGGTGGAGGAGGAGAAAGCGGGTTCAAAGAGGGCCCCCTGCCAGTCCAATGCCACCGTGCCAGTGCCGCGCATAGCCACTGGCTCCCCCGAACTGCTGCACCCATTCGAATAGGCCCCGTGCCCTGAGCTGACAGACTATATACCAGCCTAGGAAACCCATATGGCCCCCAACGCTGCAGTATCTGAGCACCTCAAAATCTTTAACCCCCGTGAGGCAGGGCTGTGCAATTATCCCCATGGTACCGATGGGGAAACCGAGGCACGGAGCGGCTAAGGGACTCACTCAAGGTGGCAAAGCTGGGAATCGAACCCAGGACTCCCAAGTCCTAGGTTACTGCCCCAGGCAGGGGACATACGCACAAATGGGACTCTAGTGCTAGTGGCAGGATTAAGAGCCCTGGAGGCTGGAATCCTCTGTTTATTCAAACAGCAGAACATGCCCCCTGCCCCGTGGATCTGCTGTCACGGCTGGGCCAAACCCGAGTGGCACTGCGACCCCACATGGAACGACTCCGGAGCGGGAAGCTGGGTCCAGCCCTACAGAACAGGAGCCAAGCCACCACTGCGGGTTCACTCTGGCCCCGAGCCTCCGTTTCAGATTTTGCCCCCGAAAACCTCTGCGCAGCCCCTGCTTCTGGCTTGGAAATCTCCCGATTAATGCCGGTGGCGATGGTGGTTTTGGCAGCACGGATATCTGCCTGCTGGGAACTACGATAAGTCCCTCTCCGAATTTACTGCCGACACGAGCCACCAGGCAGGAATCACTAGGGACCAGGGCTAACTGAGGACGGGTTATCTAGAGGCGAAAGGCTCCAGACCCTCTTATCAACCCAACTCGTCCCCATCCTTGGCAATATGCTGGAAACAGACAGCATCTGCTGCCCTATGGACTACCGCGGCCTGTGCCTTTAAGCACCGGGGTGTGGCGTGTTGAGTGTGAAGCAGGCTCAGAATGGGGACGCCCCTCCCTTCCGTGTTCCCCTATTTAATCCCTCCCCACGCTTCTTGCCCAGCTCCCCTCCCCGCCAAACCAGGGCAGCTAAGCCTGTTTAGCGTTGGCCAGTGGAAAAGGCTCTTGGCTCGGGTCATTAAAAAAGCGGACCACCTTGACTGCTAGCAGCAGACTGGCCCAAGTCAGCTGCGCTGACAGCACCGAGGAGCAACGCAGCTGACCCTGGGCGCTGGAAACTCCATTGCGATTAGGTTACCAAAGAGGGTTGAATAACGCAGCAGTGGCACGCTTTGTTGCCTGATTCTGTAAGGAGCTGAATGCCTGCCGCGGGGGGACGAGCACCCTCAGCTGCTCCGGAAGTCCACAGGCGCTGAGGGTGCTCACGAGCTCCCAGGAGATGCTCAGCTGCTGGCAGGCTCAGACCCTGCAGTGCTTCTGGACCCGCTCCCAGATTACAGGTCGGACAGAACCCAACTTTGACCGAGTTCGTGGGAGTCCTAGATCTGTGCCCTTGTTCCAGATCCCCGGCCCAGGATGCCTGAGAAGGTGAAGGGCATGGTGTAAGTTACACGCCCAGTAGCTTGGACAGGGTTAGTCTGAAGCCAGCGTGATCTGTTCCCTTGACCCCCAGCCATCCAATGCACACAGCGCATTCCTGAGCTCATGCTCTTATCCTAAAGGCTGCAGCTGGAACCTTGGTTTGGACCAATTTAAACCGGCTTGGCACCAGTGCAGTCTTCCAAGTCCATGTGAAGCCCCCTTCATAGCAGGGTTAGACCCGTGCCAACTTCAGCCATTTTGAAACACAGTTTAAAGGGCAAAGAGACCGCAGCGCGGGCTACCAGCTTCCTTCCACAACAACTGGGGCCAGATGTTGGAAGATTCACCACGGACAGGTTAAACTGGCTTGCCCAGGACTAGGTACGAATGATGGTGAGGCTGCAGGATCAACGCCCTGGTGACGGGCCTGGCAATTCTCAGTTGTCGGCAGTTTCAGCAGGGTGCTGTCCCTGGACCCTGCTGGGGTGTAACAGCCTCGGGCTAGCAGACGACTAATAAGATCAAAGCTCCACCATCCTCCACTTGCTGGAAGGAGTTTGCTCTCTTCCCCCTACGCCAGAGCCTCTTGTCTACTGCAAGTGGGGAGGGTCTTCACTACTGTCCCCCCCACCCCCTGCCTCTGTTTCTAGGGTTCCCTTCCTCCACAAATACCTACTGCACCTCTGCTGCTTCTCAGCGCTCTTCTGGGCAGCAGCACATCCAGATCACTCACACAGGGCTCTGAACAGCAGTTGTGAAACTGACCGGAATTTTGTTAATTACAGGGTCAGCAAAGCTCCCAGCCCCAGCCAGGAGGAGCGGTCTGTCTGCAGACTCAGGCACATGGGGCTGCTTTGTTCAAACTTGGGTGTTTTTTCTTTGTAGCTTTAATGGCTGGAAAAGTCTGTCCAAATGAAAGCAGAGGGTGTTGCAGATGCTGCTGGGAAAAGCACCTTCAACTCAGGGGGTTGGGGTTTTTTTCAAGGTAACACTGGGAGTATCTTAGGACAGCTCTGCCAACAGGTGCTCGGAGACTATGGTGCTGAGGGCCAGATAAGAACCTAAATAGAATAGAACATCCTTCTCTCTCCACAACAGAGACCCCGAATACCTGCAGCACAGCTAGCCCTGCAGAAAGCACAGCGGGCCCAGCAGCTCACAAGAGTTCAATCAGGCCAGGCCAGAATTTGGGGCTGGGCCTTTTCCTCCGATACCACCGTGGAGGAGTCTATGGGCGTGACTTCACTGCGGCATTAGCTCAAGCATCACCCCCAACCTGACGCCCATCCACACACAAAGATCTTTCGCCCGAGTTAAGTGGTGCTTTAACCCCACGCTGGGCGGGTAGTTGAAGCTGGAGTGGTGCTGATGTAGTGGGGATTCTGTTCTGCTCGAGTTATTTCACAGCTCTCACTTGAGCTAGGCTCACTCATGGTGGTGCAAATCCCTCTATGGACCCACTTATATTGGTTTAAAACTGGCTATGTCAGTTTAACTCATGCATGTAAACCTACCAAAGCGAAACCAATATACGAGAGTTCGCACGCAGTTACACCGGTTTAACTAAATCTGCTTTAAAAGGCACCTTTAATTAAACAGGGGCAACTGTGTGCCTAGCCCAGGCCTTATTCTAGTTTCAAATGGGAAGCGACACCACAGTACAAAAGCATTTCTTAATTGGCGGTCTCAGCAGAGAGAGCAAGGGCAAGGCAGGGCAGGGGTCATGGGGGAGATGCTAGCAGGACAGCATTGAGAAGCACATACTGGCGCCAGCAGTCCTGTATCGTTTCTGAAGATGAACGAAAGATCTCCGTTTCCAGGGCTGTTAACTGAGAGGGAAGTTAACTAACTCGAGGTAACTCTGCAGTGAAGACGAGCCCTATATGAAGTTCCCGCTGTCAGTGGGTACTTCAGAGACGGGGCTGGAGCACCAGTGGATTTAGGGTCGGCACTGGTGAAGAATGAATCTTCTAGGCAAACGGAGCAGGGGTCGCACCAACCAGCCCCATCCCTGACGCTGGAAGGGCGCTCAGTCCCCC